ATTCAAAAACTGTAAAGGATTATGGGATGAGCTTGGCAATGGTCTGAGCATTGACGTCTCCTTGAAATTTGTGCATGGGAACCTGGTCCCAAGAAGAGAGTGTTAGGAGGTAGAGGTTTGGATCTGGAATATTCTCCAAAACTCACATGCGAGCTTGGTCCCCAGGTGGTGGCGACCTTGAGAAGTGATTGAATCATTTGCTTGTGAACCTCATTGGCGGCTCAACAGGTAAACAAGTTTGCAGCTGTATGGGCTGTGAGGAGCTGGTGTCTAGCTGGAGACAGTGGGTAGGGGGGCTTGCCATTGAAGGGTACGTCTCAGCCTCAGCTCCTGTCTCTAGTCCTTTGACTCCTGACCCCTGTGAAAAGAACAGCTGTACTTCAGGATGGAAGAGTGGAGCCAAGAAACTGTGGAACCCAAAACCAGGAGCCCAATTGAACTTTTCTCTATTTTTTTGTCTTCCATCCTTTTTTCTTCTTTCCTTCCTTCCTTCCTTCCTTCCTTCCTTCCTTCCTTCCTTCCTTCCTTCCTTCCTTCCTTCTTTCCTTCCTTCCTCCCTCCCTCCCTCTCTCCCTTCCTTCCTTCCTTCCTTCCCTCTCTCTTTCTATCTCTTTCTCTTTCTCTCTCACTCCTTCCCCTTTTCACACTCTTTCTTTTCCTTCCTTCCTTTGTTTTGTTTTGTTTTGTTTTTCAAGACAGGGTTTCTCTGTGTAGCCTTGGCTGTCCAGGAACTCACTCTGTAGACCAGGCTGGCCTCGAACTCTGAGATCCACCTGCTCTGCCTCCCAAGTGCTGGGGTTAAAGGAGTATGCCTTTCTCCATTTTCGGCTCCCCCCACCCCTAATATTTCATCATAGAGTGGCTGGATAATATTGGACTTTATAAAGGAGACTTGAGGGGACCTTTTTGCTTTTCTGCCAGATGAGGACACATTTATATGGAATAGGCTCTCATTAGTCACCAAATCTGCTGGCACTTCCCTTCAACTTCTCAGTCCCTATAACTATGAATAATAAGTTTCCATTGCTTAAAAGTTATCCAGCCTAACACAATTTTTTTCCAGGAGCTTATACTGACCAAGCAAAGTTTATAGATACCACCAAGAATATGAATAAAGAAACAGAGTAGTTGAGCAACCTAACTATAGGCTCTTCTAAGAGGATGGTAACCGATTTCTTCAGTAATAATGCACATCTTGTAGCTTACAATGGGGAGAGGTTCGGGGGAAGTGAAGAACTGTTTGATAGCATCGTGTTGCCTGACTGAGCCTCACAATGCTGAAAGCGTGATTCTGTTCCTAACGAACTCTCACAGTCAGGTTCTTTCTGTGTGTCTTGCAACATACTAGTGAAGATGACTTGTGGTCATTTGATGCATAAGGACCACACTGAGGTACTAAATCATGATTATTTCTGTGCATATTTATGTACCATCTATCACAAAAGAAACACTAACATACTACATGGAGACTATTTTGGATGTTAGTCAAACATTTTCTTTTCAACCATGCTATTTTAGAACTAAAGTTCCTCTATCTACAGATATTGCCATTTCATCACAGATTGGGAATGAATACTGTTCTGTAATCTATCACAGCTGAATTAAAAGAGAAAGCACATGAGATAGAACAGAGTTATTCTGTTTAGCTGGGTTTGTAGGGAAATGGAATGGTAGTCAGGTCTGAGGATCCAGTTGAATTTGGAATGGAAATTAAACACATATGAATTGACTTCACAGAAGGAAGGTTGTACAAGACAGAAAACAGAACGCACTTTCCTTCTTCCACAGTAGACCCAAAGGTCTTGACAGTAGCTTGTAGAGTGAAATGAGTTTCATGGAGAGTCCAAACATCTCAGCTTTTCCTGGGAAGTAGTTTGAATTTAGTTGCTCTTCCTTTGCTTCTCTGGGTGGTGGGTGGTAAGAGGTGGGAGACGTCTGTCTCTTCCCCTGCAGTAGGGACCATTCAGTAAGTTCAGTTCTTCCCTTCCTCCTTTTCATCTCTTTGTTCCCCTTCTTTCACTTAGAGGTTGACTTTCGTTATTATCACTGAAAAGTCTTTGTTTCAAGGAATTAGTAATGGTGCCATACCAAATCAGATAAAATGAATTGGTATTTTAATATCAGTAAATTAATATGTGTAATATTGTCATTGATAGAGTAAAAAACTCCTGGTCAAGAGAATGGATTTTTTTGGCCGGGGACCTAACATTCTAGTTGGGTGACATCACTCTAGGAAGGTAGGTACACCTTAAGCCCTGCTAAAGAGATATGGGGATAATTAGTCTTTTACTGGGATATTGTAGTTTTCCTCTTCAGAATCCCCATCCGTAGAGCAGGAACTTATTAGGGCTGAAGCCATGTGGCTTCATAAGACTGCTTACTTTCCTGAACTATTCAGAAATGTAACTCCCCTCTCTCCCCGCACTTTTCTAAGTACACTTTCCCTAGCATGTTAGTCTTCTCCAACTCTTTGGGTTTCTGTCCCCCTCTTCTAAAGTCTCCCTCCCTCCCATGTGGCTCATTGTATATCATGTATGTGACCTCCATGCCAGCTTAAATGGAATGCTCCCCTTTTCTCTTCTCCATTCTCTTCCTCCAGGCAGCTACCAAGGTTTTACAGCTTTCCTACTCTGGGGTTTTCTTTTGAACTCTAATAAAAATGTCCTTGAGCCTCAGTTTGAGTCTATTCTGAACTTCTTTTATTAATGAGACTAAGAAGTCTAAGAGGGGACCCTGATTTTTTCTATATCATCTGGTGACCACGGTAGGATCCCCCAATTCCAGTACCATCATTATTTCCAACATCAGGAGCTTCCTTTAAAATGTATCCCATTCTGGGTTTATACAAGGATCTCTGGCTTGTGTGCTATGCTGCTGCCTTTGCTTCAATAAATCTTGTATCAGTGGACTTCAAGAAAATAAAAATAAAAATCCCACTTTTTAAAATGTGCACTGAAACAATGCATATTGAGTATAGAGACACCAGAAAAATGGAAAGAATCATGTGCCACCTGAACGTTCACTTCTCAAAGACAGTGACTCAGTATTCCAGTGTACATTCTTTCGTTCCTACATATTCATGGACAATTTCCCCTCTATGACAGTACTATGATATAATTTGATTATATATTTTAGTCAATTAACGATCATCCAAAACATCTTTCCAAATTAGTAATATACATCTACATAAGCATTTCTATCAGTAATACATCATTCCATGGTATAAAAATACATGATTAAAATTACTCAATACTGAATACTAATATTGCATTCAGATTTTTTATTTTTAAAGCTATTGCCTCTTGTACATGCATCTCTGTGTCCAATGTCTGGAAATGCAACTGATGAGCTCAGTTTCTACACATTTCTGCTATTACTACTGTACATTGCCAAATTCTTCCCTAAAAGGGAGGACTGAGCACATGTCCCTTAGCATCACATGGAGATTTCCTCACTCCCCTGTAATGGTTATCATCCGTTTTGATCTTGAAGGACTCCATTAGACAGAGAGGGGTGAGAGGCCCCTCACTGCTTTTCTTTGCATTCCCGTGTCTATCTGCTCTATAAAATAATCACGTTTCTTAGACAACCATCTAAGCAAAATGTAAACTTCCGTAGGTCAAAGAGAAAGTCTCCAAATACATAAATATTTATATCCACCATCCTTCTGAAATAGAATAACCCCTAGAGAGGAATTTGAGATACTTTTTGGCAGAGTACCATGGGCTAATAGTAGCATATAACTTTATTAAGAATGTCCTTAAGTTTTTCTTTTAAACCTCAGCCCTTAGTTCTCAGAATGGCTTTTTTAAGGTGACTCTGGCCCAACTGTAAAGAGTGGCAAAAAGCTGAATGTCAAGACAGAAGTCAGGAGTAGGTCGGAATGCTCGGCCTGGCACCACCAGCAGTGGGGTCTAGCTGGGACAGTGGAGCCAGACGGGGCTTAAGATATGTCCACACAGTTGCTGATTCCTAAGATAGTTGTCCTCAATGTGGAGACAAAACAAGTCCAAAATATGTTTGGTCCATAATGTTTTCACTAAACTGAACACCTCCCATCTATTGGGTGAACCAGCTTAAACCCAAATCTCATAAAAGGAATTTATACTTGTCATCAGAAGCACAGCTTTCATTAGGAGGATATAATGCTTAAAGAGACTTCTTAAGATGGGAAGTTTTTTTTCAGTAAGTGTAAGGAAACAAAGATCAGCGGATCCCATCTGTGATTACAGACTGGGATCTCACATTATCCAGTGTGTTCCTTGGCTAAACAAGACAGGGTTTAATGACTGGTCAGTCGGGTTCAAGAGAAAGACACCGCTCTGTTATTAAAAGGAGACTTTAATGATTGAGTTGCCATTGGGAACAAAACGGACTCCACAATAAAGCTCACTCTCTGCACTGATCACGAGTTGCTGGATCTTGGCAGAGGCAGTATTTCACATCATTTAAAAATGAAAGCAAAGTGAAATGCATTCAACAGCCTTGTGACCACGTGAAGGGGACAAGACAGGTTCACTCCTTGTAAACCACCCACGAACAATCAGACTATGAGTGAGCTGGTCGGGGCTGGTGGTTTGCTTTTTTGGTATTTAAAAAAATCACCTCGTAATTGCTCTCTGTATGACTGTTCCAAATAAATTGGGGGAGATTTCTAATACATATATATATGTGTGTGTTATAAGAAAGCCAAGAACTGCAAAGCACTTAAGAGTTATAAAGACACAAAATATCAAAATACACAATGATACCCCAGATTCACTGAAAATCCTGAGAAAGAAATGAAAGGAACAGGGACAGCTCACACTCACAGCGTACTGACACCCCACCAGCTACTGCTTCAAGTGTCTGTTAATTCTTTAAACCCCCTGAAAGTTTCATAAGGTATTTTATTTCACTGAAGAGAATGATAAAGCACAAAGAGGTTAAAATAAATTGGCAAAAAGTCACACAGCTAGTTAATGACAGGACTGTAATTGACATTTTGTTTCTGATTCTAGGTCTCAGGTGATAAGAGCATTGTCTGGAATGAATGTACCAGATCCTCAAGGATTCATTGTTGGCTTCTGAAGAAATGGTGACTTTGCAAATATTATTGCAGAATTAAAGGCATTCCTAAGAATGATTGTAGCAGCTTGATATTCAGGGGAGATGCTGCACAGATTTCAGAAAACACATTTTAACATCTAAGTATTTGTGGGATCAAGTAAAAATAAGCCACTTTCCGGGGCTAAGTTTCCTCTCCTGTAAACCTAAAGAGATGGATGGCATAACAGAAAAAAAAGTCCTACAACGGATTTATGAAGCAGACATGGGCATTGAGGTCTGGTCTTTCTATCCATGAAGACCTCAAAGAACGGACAACTGGTAGTATTGTCTGCCATAAACAGATTCACAGAAGAAAGACTTGAGCATCTGGAGACACTTCCAGATGGTCACCTTTTCTAAATCCCGCATCTGTGACCCAGAGAGCAGTGCCAACCTTGCACGGCAACTCACACCTGTAATCTCAGCACGAAGGATGCTGAGACAGGAGGATGCAAGTTGAGGACTGGCCTGAGTGAAAGAAAACAAAACAAAACAGAAAGCAATTCGGATTCAATATAGTAGATTTAAGCTTTCTCTTGGTGTTGGAGAAGGTGTTAACCCAGGCAGTAGGTCACATTTGGAACTGAAATTCCACCCTTCAGAGCATTCCACAGTAATGGCTCCCCTCACAGCAGGAATCTGTATAGACGGAGCCCAACATTAATTCCACTCATCAGGCTTTCTCATATTGCTGCTCCAATCTTGGATTTACTAGACCAATGCTGCCGAAGACAATAAAATTCCCCTTTCCCTCCTTGGCTCCCATGTGCTTTGACACTTGGTCTAATCACAAAGACTGGGTTATTGGTGACCATACACAAAACAGAGCAGCCACACAAATCATGCTTTACTGCTGCAATGTGGAAATACCAAGGTTAAACGGTAAATGTGGTGCAACTGTATTGATTAATTGGTGGAGGAAAGGTCAAACTAATCTTTATCTTGCCTGAAAGATTTGAGTTCTACATGGCAGATGTGTTGAAACGGTTTCTGTAGAAAAAGATAAAAGAAAATTGAACGCTTCATGCATAACAAGTAGGAGAAATTTTTGCTAAACTATCACTCAGATAAAGGTCAGTAAAGGAGCTCTCATGCAAAGGAAATTGGGAAATAATATCCAACAGTCTGAGCGTGATTCAAACACCAAAATGTTCAAGGGGGGCAAGTTATTTAGATTTCCTTTTATTTGTAGTACAATTTATTGGAAACATCTTCACCAATGAAACAACCGGCAAAGGATGACAGGTTAAGCAGTCACATTGGATTAGAAGAGCCCCAGACCCCAGGAGACCAGAAACAGAGTCCCAGTCCCCAGGAAACAGGAAGCCTGAAGCAGAGTTGTACTTTTCTGCTTCCAGGAGGGCCGGGATCGCTCACAGCAGTAGACCTGACGCTGCTGCTCTCCAGATGTCAAAGAGACACTGCCACTCAGAAGATGGCGGTATCACCAGGGCATGATGGGTGGGCAAAACCACCCCTTACTCCGCCCAACCTTCCTTCTTTTGGCCCAAGTGAAATAATAAAAGCTTGGTAGCTGAAGTGTAGAATCAATCCTGAGGAAATAGAGAGGCACAAATGGAAAAGGCTAAAGACCGAATCCTTGCGTAGAGAAGGAAAAACGTCTAGGCAGTGTTAAGCTGAATGGCTGTGTTGGCTGCCGGAAAGAAGGGATGCACTACAGGGCAGAATGGTTATTAGATGTGAGAGCTGGAGATGGTTTTTCTCCTTCCACTTGTGTCTGAAAGGCTGAAAGTGTCTGAGGCTGGCAAGGCTAGACTTTGTTGTCGTCACAGCTTCAGGGCTTACTATGATAAAAGCTTACTTTTGGCCCCTGTGAGCACCTGTACAGTTAGAAATTCTTCTTTCTTTGACATCTGGGACACGTGCACCTGTTACTGCTGTTGACATCAGCTGAGTGCTGTCACTTGGCCTTTGGCAAACTGCAAGGAGGTCTTGGAAACATGCCATAAAAAAGTGGCATGTCTAGGTTTACCATAGAACACTAGGGATTTGGGCTTTCATAAGGAAAAAATTCCAACTGCATTGTTAAATATCCGGGGGAGTTACCAGCGGAATTTTGGAGAACTTTATTACATTTTCTTGTTGACACTGGGGACCCAATCTTTCTCTGAATTTGACTCTGTACACTTTATACTTTTATAAGTGTTTATCTATGTAAGCTACCTGTCTGGAACCATTTTCTTATACAACAGTTTATCTTTTCACTTACGGACCATGGATACTTTTTTTTTTATGTGAAGGAAGCAAAATTGAAAGAACAATAAACAAAAGCAGAAAAAGAATGGAACTAGAAATGAGATGTGTTTTATTCATGAATGTATACATTTGTGGCCTAAATCCAGTATTATTAATAATAAACACCTAAAGCTATTAGTCATAATTTGCACTAATTCCTATGTAAAGTACACAATCTAACCTCAGCATCAGCATCATTGGAATTCTGATAGGTTATATGAGACACATCTTGCATTTTTCGGTGGTATTTGCTTCAATATATGTTAATAGATGATAATTATATGCTTTTCATTTGGATAGTTCTTATCCCAAAATGATTTAATATTCACATGTCTAATAGGTTGCCCATGGCTATTGATCATTTGGATCAGAGTTCAATCTGAGTTGCTGCTGGTTAGATTAGAAATTGTAATCATGGTGAAAGATAAATTGCAAGGTCCCTGCAGATTAGTTCTGTGTTCAGATTAGATGTGCTTTCGGGCACATGGAGGGAGCAGACATGGTGTTGCCACTGTGGGGCCTGTCTGAGACACATCCAGAGTTCCTCCAGAGCAGCGCCTTGGCCACCACACCAGCGAAGCTAAATTTATAGGATATGACATTTTATTACAATGGAGATGGTGACAAACATCCATAAATTGTTAGTGAATTATAGTTCTGAGGATTAAAGACAAAACAGGGGGGCATAGTTAGTAACTATAAATTCTGTTGTAATAAAGTGCTGTGCTACTAAAATAAGATATTTAATATATAAATAGTTTGTTTGGTTTGGTTTGGAATAGAGAGCATCTAAAGGAAGATTAATTTAGGTGGACGAGAACTCTGATGAGTAATATTAAAAGCATGTTGTCTTTGTTTAAAAAGGTTTTTATTCTATTTCTTGAGGTGACTTCATGTAGCCTCAAATTCTTTCTGTAGCTAAGGCTGGCCTTGAACTAATCCTAAGGTCTCCATCCCCCAAGTGTCGGGGTGATAGTGTTTGACCACCATATTTAGCTTAAAGTTATGTTTATAATAATTAAATTATAAAATAAATACATTTTATTATATAAACTTTGGGAAAGTACATTCAAGGAAACGAAATATACTCACTTATCCAGCAGGGTCCACGTATTGCTATCAACATCTTGAGAAACTTTTTTTCTAGCTTTTCCTTTTTTTCATAAAATACTTGAAATAAATGGAATTAGAATCATCCCTCAGTATCTGTGGAGTGTGCTGGTTCCAGGACCTCCTATGGGTACAAAGTAATGAATGCTCAAGTCAGTTGTGCCCAGTGTAAGAATATTTGCATATCCTCTCTTATTGTGATGGTGAGTCTTTGTTGTCCACTTGCCTGGATTTAGAATCAGGAGACACATGTCTGTTTGTGTCTCTGAGGATACTTCCGGGCTGATACAGCCGAGGGGGAAAGACCTACCCTTAACAATGGCTGGGACCCTGGGCTGAGAAAAGAGAAAGGCAGTTGAGTGCAGTATCCACCAGTCTTTACTTCCTGACTGTGGACACAGTGTGACCAGCTGCTTCGTGGCCCTGCCACCACAGGTGGACCTCTCTATATTTTGCAATATGTGCTTCCATTTTTTAATTCACAAATACATATACACATACAGTAGATGCTACATCCCTCACCCTCCATGATGAACCATTATTACAGAGTTTTGTTTTGGTCATTTTTCTATTATCTGTAAAAAACATAATGTTGTTTCCAAATTAAAGGTATATGAGTATCACTATCTTCACCATCACTGTCATAAGGGAATTACTTCTATTCAAACTTAATTAATCTAAGTATCTGTGGTATATTTCTAGGCTGGTAATTATATTTTCTGTGATGGCTTAGGAACAGCTTAGTAACAGTTTTTTTTTCCGTGTGGTTGTCTTTGCATATTTAGTTTAATTCTTTTTCTTCTCTTGCTGTATTGCACATCAGTGTGTAAAAGGGTGATTATAGAGAGAAAGTGGTGATTGGTCCATTTCCTGATTTGAGAGAATTCTTTTTAAGGTAAGTATTCATGAACATGGCTGTGGCAGCTATGCATGGATTGCTCTTTATCAGATTAGAATGCTTTCCCTTTTCCAAGGTGGTGAAGAGATTTGTTAAACTTTATTGAATGCTTTTCTGTGCATGTGAGAGGATTACCCAGTTTTTCTTCTATAATCTGCTTATGTTGAAAATCACATTAGTAGAACTTCTAAAGTTTAATAATCCATATATTCTTACAACAACATGCATTTAATCATGATACATGCATCACCTTTGATCACATTGTTGAAATCATTTTCTTACATTCCGTTCAGAGACTTATGTCTGTATTCAAAATAGATTTGTCTAAACCTTTTCCTTATTGAGTCATCTTCTGCCCTCTTGGTATTAGGGTTATTGGCTTTAAGGAATGAATTGGGAACTTCTTTTTATTCTAATTATTTGAGGCATTTTGAATAATATTAAAAGTATCTGTTCCAACATTGCCTGTTCTCTGCCATCTGAGGTTCATAGCTCTAAATCTTCAGATTCGAGTACATCTACTGGAGTAACTACAGAAATCAGGGAAGTAAAAGGGGACCTGGAGTAGGGGATGAGCAATAGAAGGGGGAAGAGCAGGGTGCAAGTGATTTGAAGAGGGTGGGAAAATGGGGCAGGACTTTAATTTGAGTGAATAAGAGAGTGGGAGGGAGATAAGTACAGGAGGGAGGAGGCTAAAATAATAGTAAGGATGTTTGAAAAACTCCTAAGGAGTACCTATTTACCAAAACTGCATATACTTTATATAAATTTCTCTGTACATCTGCTTTTATAGTTTAAATAACCAAAATTTTCTTATCTGGTTTGACAATGCCCCTCCCAAGAGCCATAGACTAACAAAAACTCCAGCACCAGGCGTGAGAAGCCCCCCTTTTGAATTGTTGGCCAAGGTGGTCCAAGAGATTCCCCAAACATAGACTATTGATATTGCTCTTGGTTGCCTCCCAGAAGTTGAAGGTAAGTCCATAGGCGTGAAGGACTGTAAAGCCTCCTCCCTGTGGACCACCCTTCATGATACCAAAAGGTACCAAAGGAGAGAAGCAACCAAAAGTACTACCTAGCTATGATGCTTGTGAACTACAGCAATGACCAGCAAGGCATGAAAACCCCAAGGGTGCTGTAGTGGCATACACACTTTGGCAATGACCAATAACTCTCTAATTGGACTTAAGGCCCACTCAACATGAGGAATCATACCTGGTACCGGAAATTTAGCCAATGAATAAGGACTAGTATATTTATGGATTTTAGAGGAGAACTTACAGCTGTCAATTCCCTAAACCAGTATAATTCCTAACCACATTCTAAATATTTATTCTGATACTCACAGATAAGTCTCATCCCTCCTTAAATAAACATCTTTTTGGAACAGACAGAGACCATTAGAGAAAACGACAACTGATCAAAATTCAGGGAACAAGTGACCATACGGTGTCCAGATTCAAATGATACATCTATAACACAAATTCCACGGGTCAAGGATCATAGTGATTGGAAAGATTGTAAGAGCTGGAAGAACAATTTTCTGTGTGATGATCTCTCCTAGAAATGTCAGAGAGGCTACACTCGTGAAGTCTCATCAACATGGCTGCCTCAACAAGACCTGGACAAGAATGACACCAAAAGACATGCTAACATGTAAGGGAGAAATCCCATGAGGCCCCAACTCTAGACAAATAACTATAGACAACTAGTGAATGCTGAGAACAGGGAGAAACAGTCTTACCCAGGGAAGAGGCATTCAGTTGGTTATCCAACACCAAGCAGTCAGCCCTGAAAGCATATACATACAAGTACCTTATATGGACTGAGAAGGAGATTTTATATATATATATATATATATATATATATATATATATATATATATATATATATCAACAATTAAAGAAAAATAGAGCAAGAATTTGAGTGTGTGTGTGTGTGTGTGTGTACATGGAAGTCTTTATATGGGAAAATGGAAGGAGGAAATGATATAATTATATTTTAATTAAAATATTAAAGTAATCTGTTCCTTGAAGTTTTAGTAGAGCTCACCCATGGAACTACTGGGGCAAAGATTTTTGAACAGGAATAGGAGTGGAAATTATTTGCTATGTGGTTACAAGGTTATTATGTTTTAAATTTTATTATTGAGTTGATGATGGTTCTGATTTCCTAGCACATTTCCAGTTTGTCTGAGTTTTCCATTTTATTGGCCAATTTCTGTCATAGTACTCCATCTAAAGAACCACGACAGACTATGTCTGTGACTGTCTTCCAGTATTCATTCCCACTATCAGAGGCTTTCTTCTCTTCTTCCCTTCCTATTCATCTTGTCAAATTGTCCATTTTATTATTTTGAGATGTGGCAACACATTTAGAATTGTGTGCAATGCATGATCAACAAATCCTGACGGTGAGTTGAGGTTTGACTTTTGCCTCCCAAAGAGTCAACTCTTTGACACATTCACATTCCTTTGAAGGTTTCTAAATTGCGCGTGCCTATAATGAAGGAGCTCCTTGGTCCTATGCATGCATACCTTAAGTCCTGGGACAGACTGTATTCTCCAGAAAGAGCCAGAACAATGGTTTTTGGACTGTTATTTTCTTCTTTCTTGTGGTATTCCCCATCAAAAGATGAAGTTTATTATTTTGATACCTTGAATCTGGGTGGTTTCAGGAGCTGCTTTGGTAAATGGACTGTGGTAGAAGAGTTCTTAAGCCAGTGATAAGTGTAGGCTTGACCTGGTGTTTCACCCATTTTCTAGCCTCTTGGGTGTTAGCCACTGTATAAGAAATAGAGTACTCTGAGATTATTTTGTTATGAAAACAACCTGAAGCAATGCAAAGGAAGAAAGTCCAGCAAGTGGAGAAGCACAGGCTGTGAGCAGGAAAACCATTATAGAAAGCCCAGTTCAGTTTCAGACGGCCCAGCCCCAGCTCCAGCTGATGCTAACGTGTGAGACTCCACAAAGAACCTCTGACAGAAGCCCATTCAATCTACACAAATATAAGGAACAATGAATTTTATTCTTTTAAGGATCCAAAGTTTAGGGGAATTTGTTTGCTGCCATAGTAACAGTACAAATAGATTATAAAGTTCTTTCCTCACAACCACCCCTAGCCTTTTCCTAAGAAAATCTCATCTTTGAAAGGATAATTACTCATAAGACAGAATACCCAGATCAGTAAGAGGCTATTGTATTCCTGCTTAGAGGTAACATTATTCCCCTGAATGACCTGAGATGTCACTGTGTACCCTGCTTAGTGTGGGACTATGTGACACTGTCGCTAAATAAAGAATGCTGACCCAAGACTGCCCAACAACAGACTGTAGAGTCTGAAACTACATCACAGTTGGTTCCTGAAATTCTGTGTCAGGTCAATGTATATTATTTATAGCTAATATATTCAGTAATAGGTGTAATTCTCTTCCATAATGCTATAAAATACATAAGCATTTAAAGAATGTAATAAAGGGGTAAATATAAACAAAGTATATTATATATATGGAAATGTCATAATACCCCCCCCCCAATTTGTATAATTGACATACAGTGGCAATAGCAAGTTACTAGGGAAAAATGTAATGGCAACAAATGTCAAAAAGAAAGGAGGAGAGTTGCAGCTAAGTAGAATGATGAAAATGTATTTGTAACAAGCAGTAAACACTGATGAAAATAGAAGATCAAGCTAATGCATATCATTCAGTTAAAATCAAAAGCCAATGGTTATGCAGTTTTTACTAGGTGCAAGGCTCTTCAATAGGTGCTATGCAAATATTACCTCATTTAATCTCCATACAACCTTTATGTAAATGTTATTAATTATCCATAGTTTATATACAGAAACTGAGTCATAAAGAGGTTAAATAGGACACAAGGAGGTTAAAGTCACACAGTGAGAATTCAAATCATAATAATGGTCCTGTTATAAGAAGCCAAGCAAGGCAACTGCTCTGCTCTTTCAGACCAGTTTCTGTGTTCTAGGAAGCACTGTGCTGGGACTTTGGTTGGAGACAATAGCCCTCTGAGGACCCAAAGGCTGCACATTCTTCAGTCTTCCTCTTTCTTCCCTGAACATTTGGTGTGAACATATGTCTGGAGTTAACTCAGACATAACACAAACACACACACACACGCACACACACACACACACACACACACACACACACACACACGTACATGATAGAGAATCACTCTTAAATGAAAAGTAGGTGTTGCAAACAAGAAGGTAGACACATGTAGTCAGTATAACAAAAGTTATATTTTATTATGCTCAGGGTCATCCCACAAGGTTCACATTCTAAATTCCTAACTACGGTCCTAAACCTATCTCACCAAGGCTGCTCACCTATGTGACAGATCTTAGCTGAAGGACAGGTCCCGTCTTTAACAGAAGTCTCTGAGGGTCAGGATCCTGGGGGAGACTCTCCAGGTACAGGGCAGATCAAGGTGGTGTCTCTCCAGATGTGCAGAACAGAGCATTGCTCTTGGTCTCTGCTTATATATTTTTCTGTGGGTGTCATAAGACTATGTCTGGTTATCTTGAGTGAGTACCATCACTGGGTTCTGGTTATCAGGTGCAGCCTTGGGTGTAGTGGGGATCCTGACCAAGCTATTTTTACAAGTCTAAAAGGCTTTTTTACTATGCTCATTACAGTGGGACAAAGCAATGTTGCTGTCAACGCCAGCTCATGGCCACACCTTTGTCTCAGTGGTGAGCAAAGGGAGAAGCTGCAGACACAAGGAAGGTGGCTTTTTGTTGTCCACCCTTGACATTAGAGTAGTATTGAAAGCTATGCTCCAGCACTAATTCTTTTGTTGATATCGTAAATGTTTCTCTAGTTGAAGGAAGAAGGATATTAACCCCAGGGAAAATGTCGTGGACTGCAAAATATTCCTGGCTTTGCAGTTCCCATGATGAGTTGGCACAAAAAATACACACACACACACACACACACACACACACACACACACACACACACACACACACACATGCATGCACACAGATTTTTTCCCCTACTAGTGAAGTAGAATGTGATGGAAAGAACCCACCAACTCAACCTGCTTTTTCAACATATTAACTCAGCCAGTAGAGTTAATTTCTGCTTGTTTCTCTATGGATCAGAGTGTTAATTTTCAACTCTGGGTTGTAATGGCTTTTTCTTTTCATTTTTGGATCATAGTTTTATTGATCACAAAGTCAATTAGTCGGTTAATTATTTCTGTACTTTCTTCTTTTCTTTCTTTACCCGAGTAATGCCTTCTTTGCTGTCATTTCGTGGCTACGATCAGGTCAGCCCTGTGTGATACTTTAAAGGCCTCTGTGCACACAGCTGCTCTGACAAGCTGGGACTCAAACCGACAGCTCACTGGAAAGGCATTCCTCGTCACACGTCTGAAGAGACCCAGATTGACAGTTCACAGGTTCCAGTGCAAAGATGGACTCTCAATCTTCTTCAGCTGGCGAGGATCTTGGCTAATGCGGGGCGTGCAGATGCCAGACAGCAAAGAGCCTGGAGGAACAAACAGGCCCAGCGAGGTAATTAGGATTGACAGAATGTTTGCCTGTCCCACAGTCTCCTTTGCAACAGAAAGCCAAGCCGTGTTTAATGTGTCCTGTGAGAGTATGAGCACATGCACTTAGCTCTTTGCTGGCTGAGATGGTTAAACTTTCCTTATCAATGCTGATTTTTATTTTTGTCATGGGTTTCTCAAACCATTCTGTGTCTAGTTCGGTGGCTATAAGGGTGGTACAGCATTTCTCTTATTTGTTTCTTTTATGTTACAGCTCATCATGAGCCATCAAAGCAGAAATCTAGACTCGGTCAGAGGCAAAGAGGTGGAAGTGTTGTGGATGTCTTGAGGCCCTTCACAATGTGTGAGTTCAGGGGCTCTTCTTGCTGGTCCTGCTGTTGAAGGGGAAGACCAGGCTGAAAACTTCATCAGGGGCTTCTAGCTTTACAGTTATCTGGGGGCATCTCAAAAATGGGGCAAGGGGGAAGAGAGGACACTCTAGACAAGTATGGATAATATTGTTTATACCAGGTATTGGAGGCAGGCTGCAAGAGTGATCTTTGTCTAACTCTGAACCCAAAATGATAGTTCAGAATGCAGTGCATTTCCACAAGTGCACATTTCCTGAAACATTGGTGTACCTTTGAAACAAATGAAGTCTTATTTTCACTTATCAAAGACATGATGTGTCATGGATCTTATGTGGCAGGGAATTTTGACTCATGGAGGGCTGCAATCTATAGTAGAGGAAACTGTGATTTTCTAGTTCTACTATGATAAAACTTAGGCAGGAAAAGAAAATATGATAGCCTAGCTTTAAGAACAGTGGTGGGGTGGGGAATGGGGGTTACAGAGATCCACCTGACTGGAAGTAAATGCCCATGCAGGAAGCTCCTCAACCGAAACTATTTACAGCACTTAATCGTTTGGGCACTTCCTTTATCCCTTGTTTCCACACTGAGTTAATTTACTTTAGAGTAGCCAGTTGCTTGTGGTCATATACAGAGTGTGGCCCCTTCGCTGTCAAGGGAGTGAATCTTTATAACTCTAATCCTATTACAATAAAGCTTCCACCTCAACAGCATCTGATTTTGGAATAGAATATGTTATAGAATCCTAACTAGGAAGGCTAGATCTGCTAAACTGGTTTGGAAGAAAGATTTTGATCCTCAGCCTAGACTCAGAGGAAAGTTCAGTTGCTTATCTTTCTGTGGTTCAACCTGGGGAGACGATGCCGGAATTCTGGATTTGTCTTGTGGCCATGAAAAGAACTAGATGAGATGTTGGGGTACCATGGTGAAGGAGACAGAGTGGATAAGCAAAAAGAAGTTGACACCTTGAGGATGTCACCGAACAGGCAGACAAGCACCCCAAACAATCTGCTGACCAACATCTTGTTGGATGGACAATACACTCCCTAATTTTTGAGCTGACTTTTAATTTGGATTTTCTTCATCTTTCAGACATAATTAATCAATACATGGAGTGAAAATTACATAGCCCATTTAAAGACCAAATCAAAAACCTATATACCTAATTACTGCTCTGCTTTCTTGGAACTAGCCCATCTATTTGACACTGGTCTAGGGATATTCACTCAGTCACAGAGTCATTCAATAAATAATTATTGAACTTACTATAGCCTGGGCCTCTGGATGAGCTCTGAACCAAATCAATACTGTTCCTACTCTGATGGAATATATATTTGAGAAAAAGGACTCATGTTGAGCTCATGTAGTTAGAGGAGAATATGCTGTGGACCTGACGGTACATTTACAGGACCCACACTTGGCCAGGGGCAGACATTACGGCTGGTGGTCCATGAGGCAGGGTCTCCTGAAGTCCCCCCGCCACACAGGAAACTGTAGCAGCAGCTCAGTGTCGCTTGTTCTCGCTCCATTTTAGAACTTTATAATGCTTTATAGCGCATTTCATTTTTTTTTCCCTTTTGGATTAGTTCATTGGTAGTTAAAAATTGGAATATATTAACATAAATATATGAATTTAATTCCCAAGGCCGCTGTCAAGTACAGGAATATTTACCTCTAATTAGTCCTAATTAGTATCTGGGAAGGGCCTTGAGCCAGATTTTAAACAGCTGGTGTCTTTTATCATGCCTCTGTCTCTCTCTTAAACTTCCTTAGCTGCTTTTCTCCCCCTCTGCAAATCTTTACTGACTTTTCTGTGCCTCACAGGTGTGTGAGTAAGCCAGGCAGTGAGTGTGGGTGTCTCCATTTCCTCCTTGAAGGCCTTTATTGTAATCGAAGAGGTTAGGTTTTGAAGATTGGCTCTTCTACTTACTTATAAGTAAAGACTTGGTTTAACTCTTGATTTGTTGCATACAGCATTTTCGACAATTATGATACCCACCATATAGATGTTTATGGGGATAGAGTAAAAATGCAGGTAAAAAGAATTTAACAGTCATGGGGTGGCTTTTCAGTAAATAGTAACCACACTAAACACATGCTGTAACGGTAACACAATGTGCAAGCAATATGTTCCACAGGAGTTTGAGGAACAGTGCTGCATGGATGCAGTGGAACCCAACCCTGGGAAAAGGTGAGAGGCACTTGCAGAGGCAGGCTCCTCTGAAGTAGGTTTCAACTTCGGCTCTCTGCTCGGCTTTGGTTAACTCTCTATTGGAGCCTCCACTCTCTAGCTTCTCAGGGTGCAGACTCCAGCTGGATGAGGTCCAGACCGCCTTCCTTTTAATCTGATGGTACCAGGGTACTCTAGGCAGTCACTGTCTGAAAGCTGGCTCTTGGTCACTTAGCAGAAGTGGGTTATGAATGGCAAGGCAAATACAAGCCACCAGTAGAAAATTATCACTGACTTTTCTCATTGATTCCTGGACTCATAAAGCCAGAACAAAATCCTGGGATTTTGGAGCCCTGTGAAACTGAATGGATGTTTTTGTCACCTTGACTTTAATTAACTCAAGTTTAGGGGGATGCAAGTGATCCAAATAGTCTACAAAGAAGGTATTTCAGTGAAGACTAATGGGGTTCCATATATAGTGTAGGAAGTTCTTAGAGGTAATCATCTATATATTTATAACTGTAGGTCTGACAATTCTTGTATGTTCTGTTACTGCTGCTGTAACACTCACTCTAAAAGATGTCATCTTACATTTCTGTGGATCAGAAGTCCAACATGGGCCTTACAGGCAAAGCTATGGAGTTGATGGAGCTGGGATTTCTAAAGGAAGATCTTGTTGCCTCTCATTAGGATAGCTGCTAGTTTGTTTTCTGTTATGAGTAAATACTTGATCCTGGGTACCTTATAAATAAGAAGGGCTATTCAGCACAGTTTCAGACTCAAGGGCATAGTGGGGGCACTGGTGTAGCTGCCATAAGAGCCTCATAGTGAATGGTATTACAATGCTGGAAATGTACATCTAGAGAGACTTCATATGACAAGGTAAGAAGCCTGAGGCCAGGACCATAGAGGGATAAGATTTGCTCTTTGAAGCAACTGACTCTCATGGAACTAACTGAGGGTTCCAGGAGAATTATATAGTCTTCCTTTTGGACAATACTCTCCATTGAAATGGCATCTCCTAGGTCCCCTTCTTAAAGATTTTACCCTCCTTTGACATGGCCATATTGGGAATCAAACTTCAAATACTTGAATTCTCTGGGTGAAACACTCAATCCCATAGCCAGGCGGTTGGCAGATTCAAGTTCTTTTAGTTGTGGCAAGGAAATCACTTTTCCTTGTAGGCTTTCAGCTAAGTGCACATCTCACAGCTTCTAGGGACCATTTGCAATCCTCAGCTCTTGGATCCCTTACTCTATTCTCAGAACCAGTAAAGGTGGGTCGAGTCCTTCACTTTCTTTGAACTCACTTCTCTAACCCTGTATTGGAAAATTCTCTCCTTGTGGTAACTGATATGATTAGATTGGACCCATCCAGAGTCCAGAGTGTCCATGATGATGTCCTTATCTTTAGGGCTGTACCTTTAATCACCTCTGCGAATTCCTTCACCATAGTTAGGTCCTGGATGATAAATGAACGGACAGCTTGGGGATAGGAGTATTATTCTTCCATGCTTATCTTTTTATTTAAGTAAAGCACATTGTTATGGGGGCATCTTTAACCCTTGGTCATCCTATCCTCAGCATTCCAACCTTCTGATAGATTTGTTTCTATGTAACAATCTTTACAGATAATTCTATATTCTGGTATATTCTTTATTTCATTTCTGCTCCTCCTTCAAACCAAAGTTGTTTTTAAGTTGCTGCAGACACCAGTCTGCTATATTTCTCTTTTGTTCTTCCTGTTGTACCAATTATTTTTGTTGCCATCAGACTTTTCTCCGTGCTCACTAATGTATGGCTTCTCCAGCACACGTTTTTTAAGTGATCATTAGTTTTAGGCTGTATAGAAACATTAATCTCAAGAAAGAGGAGAAATATGACAATTTGAGGAAAATTTCTGCTTTCCAGAAATCTTGAAAGTTTCCCTTACAGTTTTGATTAGTTTTTTAATGATAAAGTTAGCATCCAACCATTGCAATTATTAATAATATATCAAATATATAATCACATAAACTCCTCAACCTCTAACTCCACAGCCAGTTGCTGGTAGTGAAGTTTGTGTTTGCTGTCTATCCCCCCATTCCTTTCTGTGTGTACATATAACTTCCCAAGAGTACATTAAACTTCTTCTATCATTTTCTTTAATAGGCTGACATGTAGCCCTTCACAATGTGTCTGTGGATCTCCACCGACTCTCACCTGCCTCTGCCACTGCTGAAATGTCTACAGGTGTGCCTGCGATTCACGTGCTGCCACAGGCAGATGGAAGACTTCAACAGATATGTCAAATAGATGAGGTGGTTGACATATGACATATCAGTCTGGATACAGGGTTAGAAGCCAGCTGCTCAGGGAGTCAGATGAGACCATGGATACACTGCAGGCAGGTGCTTCTGAGTTGGAAACAAATGCTGCCGAGTTGAGGAGAAAGCACAGATTGAAGACTTGCAAGGTGTGGGTTGTAGGGGTCAGCATCCTGGTGATCGCTGTCATTATCATCCTGTGGTGTCTCTCAATGAAGAAGGAGTGACAGCCAAGCAGGCTGTTCCAGCTTCAAGACTTTTGACTGAAAACTTGCTATATTACCAAGCTTACCCACTGCTATTTCCAAATGATTGTTTTGGCTAGTTTACATACAATTCAGTGTCTAGGAAATGTGCCTTTCTTTTTATGCACACTCCAAACTGGAGGCATGGCCCACAAGTTTTACATATCACCTTCACAGGTTTGTGGATGGACTGGGAGAGAAGACTTCTGGTGCTCAGGAGCACTGAAATCTAGACCAGACATTGCCACAGGTGACTTGTTGGGGACTCCAGGAAGGGTATTCCAGTGATCAGTCACCTGATGTCATCTTCAGAACCACATTTAAAGCTTTGGGTAATTAGATCCCTAACACAAACCCTTGACAACAGGGAGTGACTTATCTAGATACTCCCCTCATTTTCCTTAAGAGATTCTTTGTTGTAAGCATTACAGACTTGGAGTTAAGACTCCTGTAAAAGAGCTTGTGCTGTTACATTAGATAAGAGGTTTCTTGCTGTTATGTACTACTTGCTAACATAGTATTTTGACCAGAAAGAGGTTCTTTAAAATATTCTTTATAGAACTATGACCAAAGTTTCTATTTTTCCAAAATACAATTTGTTAAATACAAATAAAATATCTGTAAGTCTGTCCCTAAAAAGTAAAAACGTGTCTGTGATTGGTTATAAATATAAAATAGTTTAATTAAAAATGGGTCTAACTCTTAAGAGGTTAGAATGTCATCTCATGTGGGCAGTTACTGGGTCAGTATCAGGTATAACCAGGGTAGAGGAGGTCACTGGGATGAGCCCCAAGACAGTGTGCCTCTTGTCCTTATAAAAGGGGACATTTGGCCATAGAGACCTGCTTACAGGGTGAATATGGCAAAGACAAATGTAAAAATTGATGTTACTGTAAACAAAAGAATGTCACAGATTGCCAAAGCAACTAGCAGCTAGGCAAGAGGCATGGACCAGATTCACAGTCCTTAGAAGGAATCATCCCTCCCAACACTTGATTGTGGACTTCTGGCCTCCAGAGCTACCAGACAACAAATTCCTACTATTTAAACCACCTGGACTGTGGACACTTGGTCAGACAAGCCTTAACAAATGACTACATCTCCGTATGAATATGGGACCTTATACAAATTGTCTTGTGACACTTCGAACTCACCATGCAATGGGTATCGTGTCAGGTGTATGTCAATGGGGGTGGTGTTTCGAAGTGGAAGGAATGTGGAATGTGTGCCTACCTACAGCTGCTGGTCCATAGGTCTGGAAGGACTGTGAGAAGCTGTAAAGTTCCTGGCATAAGCCTGGCTATGGGCTGTGGACCAAGAACAGTGCCCTCAGCAGGCAGGGACGTGGAGCAGCTCTGCCCAGCTTTACTCCTCCTGACCCTCTAGCAGTGACATGGGTGGAGTTGATTCAGGGAGGAAACATTTCTCCCTCATTCCCATAAGGTACCGTACATACAATCGTGTGCATATGTGTGAATAGGTAGGTCCCTGCTGAAGTCTTAGGGAATTCAAAGTCATGAAAACAAAGGCAGGTTTGATACTCTCAGGGTCCTTGTAACTTTTTGCTGCTTCCCATAAAACTAGCCCACTGTGGCAAGGACGAAAAAGTCTCTTTAGCTGAGTGGTTCTCCACCTGCAGAGACTAAAAAGAGGACTAAATGGTCAAAGAATTTATTACAATGGGTATTTCAAAAATCGCTGTCTCTGTGTGTGTGTTTGGAGGGGTGGAGTACTGCTGTGTGCTCACAGGGGAAATGACCCTAGGAATGTAGCTTCTACTAACCATAATTCCCAAGATGGCCACATAATGAATGCAAATACAGCACCGTTTTCAGAGCACTTTATATACCTTCCAGGTCCAGCTTTCCAAAATCTAAAATGTTTATATGGAATTCACAGGCCAGAACTTGTCTACATATCTGTCTCATTCTTGGAGTGATTTCTCCATGAAACAGAGCAACGATGCAAAGCCAGGCCGCTGCTGCTTCCTTTTAAGGTCACAAGTCCCCTCCCAGCACAGTGTGTGGAGATTGAAATAGGAAAGTTTATTTAGGGAGAAAACAGTATGTTGTTTTTCTAGGCTATCAGGTGATTTTCCCCCCTAAATTTGGTAGGAATTTGGTCCTATTGAATACCTAAGATACTCTGATGTGGAATTGTTGTTCTTAGGGTGACTTTAATTGTTCTATAACAACTTTTAAACTTGTTTTTCAGATACTTATCTTTTATATTTGCCTAAAATCCAAGTACAGTTTTAGATGATCATATTAATTCCATTGACAAAATAGGCTCATTATTGCTGACTTTAAGATTAAAGGATTTTTTTTTAAAGTAGTGGTATAAACTTCTATAGTAAAATATGTTATATGGACACATGAGCAGAATATGCAAAATTATAAAAATATGGGCTTAAATCAAAATACCATTCCTTTCTTTTTCAGGATATTGTGTGTAAGACAATTCATCATACCCAGACTCCAAATTGTCTATTAGAACTTTCAATCCACGTTTCTTGTTTTCCAATGGGGAACAGGATGAGAGCGATTATCTCAAAAGAAAGCCATCTGATGGGCTAAAGGAATACTGACTGGGTAACTGCCTGAGCCAAAAGCTTTCATTGCTGAATGATTTGAAAATACTGGGATTTTGTTCACTTTTTTTCTTGTATCATCAACTCAAAATGATAGGAAAGAGGTCAATAGTAATTTACATAACAAAATAATACTCATTCTGCCTCAAGAATTATGTAAATCTATAATTTTTATTTGCTGACACATCCAGTGTCATCCATGCAGATGCTATGTCAGGGTCAGCTCTAAAGAAATGGGACATGTATGCACAATTTCAAGAAGCCAGTTTAATCATTTGCTTAGTCTTAGAATTTGGTGGTGGAATTCCAAATTCCACTTTGGAATGATTAAATACTTGATATAGGCCAACCTCTGACAGAATAAAAATCCTGTTTACAGCCACATAAAGCCATGAAGGCAGGTGCGTGAACTGGATGGCATGGAACTTTCAGGCAGAGGAATTCTGCTTTCTCTTAGAAGACTCTGATGGTATAAAGCTGGCTGTGAGAGAGGCTGGGACTTCGGTGTAACCCTGGCACCTGTGAAAGGGTAGATTATTGAACCTACTTTTAAAGAGCAACTTATTTAAAAATGTTTTACATTGCTATGGATTTTAGTTTATTGATACAAATTTAAAGTTAATTTTATTATACTGTATGTGCATTTTTACTCTTGTGTAAGGTATTATGTTTATACAACTCATTTAAATTGTAATAAAACAGTCTTCTATGATAGTCAAACTTATAGTCATGTTTTCTAGGTATACATAGATATATTTCAGATAGATAGGTAATCTTCAAATACTTCAAAGACCTACAAAATATGGCATTTAAAATGTTTTTAAAAAATTTAGACTTTCTGGACAGTAAGACATGTCTACTCCTGACAGCACTGATTTACTTCAGAGAAGAGGATGGGCATCGAATACACTCTATATGGAGTTTATCTTCTTCTTGACAAAAATAGCCATTTGGGTAAGAAACTGTTCTTGCCTGGACTGATTAAAAAAATGTATAACTGGACATGCAGGACTCATAGGAAGGTGACCATTGAACTTTGCTTGGCCAAATGGTCCTTCAGGTTCCTGCTTTGCAGAGGAAACTGCCAGACATTCTATAGGACATAGAGAGAAGTAACTGAGAGATTCTAGGCCTGTGGGCTGAAGACAGATGCCCCAACTTTACAGAGGAACTTTGGATGACTATTCAGGCTGCCAGTTGTCTCTGTCTACTTTCACAAGACTCCCAAAAGTTGATTGTGTCCTCCTGTTTCTCAGGTAATATTACATCCTTCTGAGGTCATTGATGTAGTTAAAGACTAGATAGTTATAATTTCCTTATATGATAAAAAATAAGTTAAATATAAAACCTTAGACTCACAAATATAAAATAGATAGGATATCTTCTTTAATTTTGCCAAATACAAATAGACTAGATATTATAAATAGACTAGATATTATAACTGTAATTCTTGCTTGATAATTGTTCTGTTATATGTAATTTTACTATGTTAAAGTTAAAACCTTTCCTTTAAAAAAAAAGAAAAGTGCTGGGAATGCTGTGAATGTGTTGCTCTGATTGATTGATAAATAAAATGCTGATTGACCAATAGTCAGACAGGAAGTATAGTATAGGCAGGATAAAGAGAGTAGAAAATGCTGGAAAGTAAAAGGCTAAGTCAGGAGATGCTGCCAGCTGCTGCCAGGAGGAACAATATGTAAAGTACTGGTAAGACACGAGCCACATGACAAGGTATAGATTTATAGAAATGGGTTAATTTAAGATATAAGAACTAGATAACAAGAAGCCTGCCATGGCCATACAGTTTATAAATAATATAAGTCTCTGTGTGTTTGCTTGGGTCTGAGCGGCTGCAGGACTGGTGGGTGAGAGAGATTTGTCCTGACCATGGGCCAGACAGGACCAGGAAAACTTCAATTACACACCTGTTTACTCAGAATATACATGCATATATATATACATATGTATATATATATGTATGTATGTGTGTGTGTATGTGTGTGTGTGTGTTTCACCCCATCGATCAAGGTTGCAAGAGGACAGAAACCTGGATCTCATCATTTTCAAGAATACTGAATAGTCTCTGCTTTTTTATTTATCATTTGAATATATCAGCATTTTATAGCATTTGAAAAGTGCAACATCTTAATACACTTTTTTCTTCTTAATGCCAGCATATTAGTTCACATAGGCCAGTGGCTCTCACAAGCAGCCTTGATGTTTAGGTGGGTTAACATAAGTATACCAGTAAATGTAGGGCACTGCTCTGTGTGGCTACTCAGAGACCCAGGCTCCTTCTGTCATGTGGTCCCATCCTCTTGTAAAGTCTTGTTTATCATTAATCAGCATGTATGAGGAAGCAAGGGACTGTACAGCAGACATTTCCTGAGCTGGAAGTAATACATTGCCCCTACTTACATTTGTTGTGTGGCATTCAGTCTAGTGATTGTCTAATTCCAAACAAATCTGGAATATGTATCTTTGAAGTGAGGCCAGGAAAAGATAACTCTCCACTCCAGTATGCCACAATTTTCAAATAAATATAAAGACATAAAACAGATAGGATGTGAAAAACAATATAAAACATTGGATTCACTATTTTTGTAATTGGTGTGATGAAATACCAAGAAGCAATTTGAAGGTGATATATTTTGCCCTCATGAGTTGCAGTCCATCATAGTGAGAAAGGCAGAGCTACCAGAGACTTAGCAATAGCAGGAGTGGACACTCTGGACCATGAAACAAAGAATTGGGGATGGAACCCAGAAAGGCCTGCAATCCATCATTTCCAACCTCAGGGACCGACTTCCTACAGCTAGGTTCTACCTCCTAAAGGTTTAAACACATGTGCTTGTGATGGGGATAATTTACATTCAAACTATGACAAACACATTGAGCATTTATAGAGCAATTACAGTGATTATAGTGACCTTTGCAGCATGTACCCATTCATTTATTCAACAAATATTGCTAAATGCCCACTATGTGCTCCTGTGCCAGGTCCTGGGAATAGTGATGA